TCATCTCTCCTCTGGTGCAGACTTGTGTGGATGTCTGTCGTCTGGGGTCGACGGCAGGAGATGCGACGGTGGTTCTGGTGGCTCAACAGCTTCGCTCCGACACAGTATGCGAGTTGTTTCTGGATGCATTAATGAAAGAATTCAACGTATGGCGAATCCCAGATAACGAGCTGTCGTCGCAGCTGCGGTCTGGCTCCGGATATGTGGTGCATCTGGCCATCCTGAGGGATCAGGTCAGGAAGGCAGAATAGAACATTGTTGAATCCTCCCGCGTTGAACCCTTCAAATTCTCCGACATGGGCGTCCTTGACCCGCGTACAAATAATCTGCCCTGCAGACGTCGAATACGGGGACTACGGGAAGACAGCCTTGAGCTCCATATTTTCAAGGCCAAATAGCAGGCGAGGCGAAGGATGGTGCCTTATTGTGCCTTACTGACACTAGTGAGAAAGTGATCAGGCTGGCGGGGCTTGGCGGTGGCTTCCATTCGAGTCCTCCATGTTTTTGGGGCGATATTGATTCCAGTCTCCTTCGCCATCGACTGCCACCTGCACATGGCAAATATTATCTACTGCCGGGCCCTGTCTCGATATCCTCACGATATCTCTTTCGCTGTGAAGCTGTTGAGATCTTCTAGGCTGTTTTGTTGTATCTAAGCATTGGCCCTCTCAAGGGCAACACGACTCGACGACCATGGACCTGAGAACCACCATCCAGTCGACTTTGTCAGCCGACGCAGCCATCCGCTCTCAAGCTGAGACAGCCCTGAAGCAGGCTGAACAGCATCCTGGATTCATTGGAGCTCTTCTCGACATCCTGCAGTCAGAACAGGACCCTGCCGTCCGCCTCTCAGTTGCCGTCTACCTCAAGAATCGAATATCACGGGGATGGGCTACCGAACACACTCCCCACCAACCGATTTCTGAGCCTGAGCGAAAACCCTTCAAAGACCGCTTACTGCCTGCGCTATCCTCGTCTCCTCCTCTGATTCGAGCCCAGCTCATTCCGATCCTCCAGACCGTCCTTCAGCACGATTTTCCTTCAAAATGGCCCGAGTTGATGGATATCACGCTGCAGCTGATGAACACTCAAGATGCCAATCAGGTCTACGCAGGGCTACAGTGTCTGTTGGCTGTCTGCCGTACATACCGTTTCCGCGCCGGGGAGGAGAGGCTAAATCTGGACAAAGTCGTCAACGTGGCCTTTCCTACATTGTTAAGCATCGGGAACAAGTTGGTGAACGAGACCAGTCTGGAAGCTGGTGAAATGCTGAGGATATGCGTCAAGTGTTACAAACACGCTGTCTACTATGGCCTGCCTGTTCCGCTGCGGTCGCACCAAGCGACGGTGGATTGGTGCACCCTCTTTTTGACCGTCATCTCAAAGAAGCCCCCCGAGAGCGCCATGCCCGAAGATGCTGATGAACGGGAACGCAACCATTGGTGGAAAGCACGCAAATGGTCCTACGCAAACCTCAACAGGCTCTTTATGAGGTACGGGAACCCGTCAGTGCTGTCTCCGGCCCAGGAGAAGGACTATGGTGGATTCGCGAAGAACTTCATCACAAATTTTGCGCCAGAAATTCTCAAGGGCTACCTGGGTGAAATTGAGAAATGGGTTGGGGGCAATTACTGGCTGAGCAAGCCTTCTTTGTCACATACGTTGATCTTTCTGGAAGACTGTGTGAGGCCCATATCGATGTGGGCCAAGCTCAAGCCGCACATGGACAGCCTCATCAAACATTTGATCTACCCTGTCATGTGTCTTTCAGACGAGGATTTGGAATTGTTCACAGACAATCCGGCTGATTACTTGCACCGGAAGCTCAACTATTATGAGGAAGTCTCAGCACCAGATATGGCCGCAACCAATTTCTTGATTGCCTTGACAAAGTCGCGGAAACAACAGACTTATGTCATCTTGTCGTACGTGAACGAAATCGTATCCCGTTACGAGACTGCTCCGGATGACCAAAAGAATCCTCGAGAGAAAGATGGAGCCCTCAGAATGATTGGCTCGCTGGCATCAGTCATACTGGGCAAGAAGAGCCCGATTGCAGATCAGGTTGAATACTTCTTCGTTCGACATGTATTCCCTGAGTTCAGATCCCCACATGGCTTTCTACGAGCCAGAGCCTGTGAGACCATGGAGAAGTTTGAACAGCTGGATTTCAAAGACCAAAACAATCTCATGATCATCTACCAGAACTTGATGGAGTCCATGGCTGATCCAGAACTGCCTGTCAGGGTGGAAGCTGCATTGGCACTGCAACCCCTGATTAGGCATGATGCTATCCGCTTAACCATGCAATCAAATATTCCGCAAATCATGCATCAACTGCTGCAGTTGATGAACGAGGTTGATGTCGACTCACTCTCAAATGTCATGGAGGACTTCGTTGAAGTTTTCGCTGAACAGCTCACACCATTTGCGGTGGCTTTGAGCACGAATCTCAGGGACACTTATCTTCGAATCGTCCGCGAGATTTTGGAACGGAACGAAGCCAGGGCGGCTGAAACTGGCGATGCACACGAGTATCTGGACGATAAGTCGATCGCGGCATTAGGGGTGCTGCAAACAATTGGCACTCTTATTCTTACTCTCGAAGCTACACCTGACGTTCTGCTTCTTCTCGAAACCATCCTCATGCCGGTCATCACCATCACCCTGGAGAACAAGCTTTATGACATCTACAACGAAGTTTTCGAAATCATTGATTCGTGTACTTATGCCTTGAAATCGATATCTCCGACAATGTGGCAAGCCTTTGAGCTGATGCACAAAACGTTCAAAGATGGCGCCGAGCTATACTTAGAAGACATGCTGCCTGCGCTCGACAACTTCGTCACTTATGGTCAGCAAAGATTAATCGAACACCCGCCGTACCTGGCCGCTATAGCTGGCATGGTGCGAGACATCTTCTCCGACCCTAAGGTGGGAGGTGTGGACCGTATCTGCGGATGCAAGCTTGCTGAGGCCTTGATGTTGAATCTTCGAGGTGGCCCGATTGACAGCTACATACCAACTTTTGTAACCTTGCCAATGGAGGTCTTGACCAGCGCACAAGCAAAGACTGTAATTCGGAGCTACAAACTTCATCTAGTAGAGATGGTTATTAACTGTCTCTATTACAACCCCATTCTAGCGCTCCAGGTCCTCGAATCACATGGTTGGACAAACAAATTTTTTTCGATCTGGTTCGGCATGATTGACAATTTCCGCCGCGTCCACGACAAGAAGCTCTGTCTTGCTGCCATTTGCTCTCTCCTCACCATCCGCGCTGACCAAGTTCCTCATTCAGTTCAAACAGGCTGGCCACGCCTCCTAACCGGAGCGACTTATCTCTTTCGAACTCTTCCCGCTGCGATCAAGCAACGGGAGGAAGCTGTCAAAGCCTCTGATGGGGTTTCTGATACCATCTCAGACTACGGGTCTGACGATGATGCCGAAGACTGGGCGGACGAGCCCGCCACCGAGGGACAAGAATGGCCCAATGTTAGTGCCGCCTCCTTGCCAGACACCAAAGGCGACATCAAAGACGAGTCGCAAGCCTATTTGGATTTCCTCAGCGAGGAGGCCAAGAAATTTGGCGCCCTGGCCGATGATGACAACGATAGTGTCCTCGACGACGACAGCCCCCTTGAAAGTCCGCTTGACAAGTTTGATCCCTATTCAGCATTCAAAGACTCGTTGGACAAGCTTCAGGCAGAACAGCCCCAGCTGTATCAGAATCTGACGGCAATCTTGGAGCAAGGAGACCGTGATGTCTTGCAGAGCGTTGTCAACCATGCCGCTGCGACGCAGGCTGCCCAAGCTCAACAAGGTCAAGCGCAGGGATAGAATTGCTGGAAGTGCGATGCCGACAGTGATGAGAGACTCCTCCATTTGAAGTTGAGAATTCTGAAAAGCGAGCAATGGCGGATGTTGTATAAGCTGCGTTAATGGGGCTCCGGCTTGAGGCGCTACTGAGAACGAGGTGATATCAAATCAGTTTTACTTGAGCGTGAAGAGCAAGCGTTGTTTTTCTATTGTGGGGGGTCAACGTTAGGTGACTGCTATTGCGGTGCCAAAGCCCTGGTGCCGATCTTTGGGGACGAAAGACGCCTGCAGTTCTGTTGGTTGAATCAACGCTCCCCTGCTCTTTGGGGCTGAAGAACGACGGAGATTTGAAGATTGCTAGCAACACGAACATTCCAAACCTCTGTTCAGTGGGCGGTTGCATGGAGTGCTGGCTGTGGCTATCAAGGAGAGCGCCGGCGAAAAAAGTGCCAGCCAATGTTTTGAGGTGCCACAGCCGAAGGCGGATCGCCATGTTCTTATTCTCCTTTTCACAGACAGCGGATCAAATATAAGCCTCGTTCGCCGAAAACTTTGCCCGTCCTCCTCCCTTTCTCAGGCTTCCAGATATCTACTGGGGGAGAAGTACTACATGGAAGCAGACCAGGGCATCGGGCAGACAGAACTTGCAAGAGTCCAAGAGATAGAAGAAATAAGCTACCATCGCTCTCATTTAGCCGTTTAGTTTTACTCACATTGGATATCGTCGACACCCTCAGCGTGATGGTCCCTTCGTTTGGTTCCATGCCTCCTCTATCTGTATCTGGCTAAGATGAGGCTGTCGTAATATACCTCATGCATACACCCAGACCAGGTTCCTGTGTGTGCTAACGAGAAGGTGCAAGAACGCTCTAAGTACGGCGGCGGATGAGAGAGTCAGGATCGAATCCACAGATAAACAAGACTATGTCCTGCCTACAGGGGAGGAAAGAAGAGAAGGGTCAACGTCGTACTCCACAGCCTAGATAATAAATAACGACGCAACCTCGTCATCTCGTGCGAAGGCTGAATCAAGGCTGAGAAAGGGGTGGACAACCAGGCTCAAAAGAGTAAGCAAGCATACCCTGTCGAGAGGGAGGAGCATCGCTGCCGCCGGGTTTGGCCATGGCAGCACGAACGAGCATTCAGAGAGAAGAATAGAGTGGACGCAGCAACAGTCACTTCTACAACTCGGAGTTTTGCAAAAGGAATTCACATTGTCCACCCGCGTTTGAACAAGTTAAAGCCATGCTTAATACCTGCTGAATGATGCCAATGTCCAGCTTCGAATTCTCCCTTTCCTCAAATAGCCATGTGCAAACAGATCGTACTGGGGGCGTCCTCAAAACGTATGTGGCGGGTTGTGTCGCAGGGTTGTTGTGCTCGGTCCTGACCTGTTCGATGCCATACTGGATATTTTCCACAACTTTTGTCTGTCCATTTTTGCCCTTGTCCTGTTCCATACCTTTGTTCCACGCTCCTGCTCCTTCGCTATGCTGGCAATAGCCCCTAGACAACACCAACATACACATGTGCACGCACAAGCTCCAACACAACACATTCCCATCGATGCCATACAGTTTTGCTCGCTCTTGTACCAAGTAGTTTTCGTTTTTTCTAGACCTCCATGCTCCCTGGTTCCTGCCACCTATTCCTGCGTTTTTAATCGCAATTTGGTGCTCTCTCTGCAACTTCTCCAATCCCCAACCCATGGTCCCGAGCAAAAACACAAGCAAAGTTCTCTAGGTCGTCCCTCATATGCAAAGATTGTGTCCCATTGCCGGCGCTTTCGACCAAGTTCAAACCCTCCAGCAGCCCAGCCTCCAGCACCGCCCGCCAATATCCACGATACAAAGCTAGTAAACAGATGTGCATTGAATCTGCCAAGAATCAAGTACATGAAAGTCGGGAAAAAAGAAGTAGACAACCTTGCTCAACATGAAAGATGTCGTCGAAGTCGTTAATCGGTCAATGAGTGAACTTTAGTGGCGTTGAGTGGCGACTTGGAGGGCAGAGTTCGGTGGATTGGGGAGGGGAATTAAGCAGGGCTTTTCGCGCTCTGAGGACCACCATTGCGACGAGGGCCTTGGTTTTCATCAGGCGTCACCATGCTGAGGCTGTCTATGCCTGCGGAGAGGAAGGCAAAAGGATCTCCACCCGGTCCGTTTCCGTAAAAGCCATTCTGAGGAAGATTGCTGGGAGCATTCGTGTCAGCCGCACCACTGAAAGCAGCTTGAGCCGCCGGGCCGAAGGAGGAATGAGACATGTTGCTGGATGCGTAGCCGGGAGTCATGCTGCCCATCTGTGGGAAGGGAGCAGTTGGTGGGCCCCCCATACCAGAAGGCATACCGAATTGACTGGGTGGTTGGGCAAAGGCTGCACCAGAGCCGAAAGCAGCAGCACCAGCGCCGTATGGGGCGGGTCCTGGAGTACTGGCTATTGAGCCGGGTCCCATACCATACTCGGAAGGCGGTGCCATTGGAGAAGGATAGGCCGAATCGACGACAACTGCAGCTCCAGAACGAGGGGCACCACAGCGCAGACAGTTGACATTCTTGGCAAAGTTGTGGTATGAGCAGCCTTCGGCACCGCATCGCCAATCACCAGCTCTGAAAGGAACAATGCCAGCTCCGCCGCGGCCGTGATGTCCCACGCCATGTCCATGATGTCCCATGTGAGGATGATGACCCATCATATGAGGCGGTCCATAACCGGCGTAGGAACTATAATATGGATCAACACCCGTGGCTCCTCCAGCAGGGAACGAGCATCTGAAGCATGCGGTACGGCGTTGGAAATTCGAGAAGCCACATGAAGGACAGTTCCAGTCACCTGGTCGTGGTCGATTTTTGCTCGGAGGGAATGGAGTCAGGATTTCGGCGGCACGGTCGAGGACTCGGCTTGAAGAAGGCGAGACCTCGATGGCCTTTTCGTTGAGAGCGCGTCCGTTCATACAGAGACTTTCAGCGGCCTGGAGAGAGAAAGAGGAAATATGGGTTAATACTGGATCAAGAGTACGGGACCGATGGTGAATTTGAGGGCATGGGAAAAGCTTGATATCAGTGCGGCGGAGGTAAAGCTAGGAAATGAAAGTGAGACATACCTCTTCATGTGAAGAGAACACGGCGAAACCTGAACCTGTCGGCTTATGCTGATCTGGAGTACGAAGGGTCCAGAAGGCGATTGGCCTCCCTCCAAATTGAGTAAACCAGCTTTCGAGTTCTGACTGGGTTGTGTCGTGCGGCAGACCGTTCATGTGCAGAACCTTGCTGCGTTCCTTCAAGAAGGCATTCACGTCGGCCCTGGCGTCCATGGGGCGAGTCAAAACATCGGGATGCTCATGGGCGGGCTGAGACTTTCGAATGAGGCCCCGGAGAACCCTGGCAAGAGTGACTGCCTCTTCCATGGCGCGGCGAGGGGAGGCAGGCGCCAACGCCTGCAGATGGAAGGGCAGATTGTGCTTGATTGGCGCCGACGATTGCACAGGCTCCACTTCAAGAGCAGCACAGATGTTTGCTAGAGAACTGGGGCCAAATGGCAGGGACTCTGGATGGTGCTGCTGCCATCGGGCATACTCTGAACGCAAGTCGAAGGTTCGGGAGTGTTGCAGGTAAGCCGGTAGGACGACTGCCTTATCGCGGGCTTCTCGAGGCAACTGGACCCGCAAGTCCCAGGAATCCAGTGTGACAAAGGAAAACTCCAGGTTCTTGGATATAAGGTGCTCCTGAGCAAAATGGTCGAAGCGAGTGACTGCATCCCGGAAAGAGCCGGCGTTGCGAACATGCTCCCAAGTCAAGGTGGTGAGGCTGGCTGTGATTCCAAGGATCAGTTCATGCAAATCTCCGTCCTCCCGACACAAGAGAGTACTCACTGCAGAGGGGTGTGATGGGCGTATTGACGGGCTTGACTAGGACGCTCTCCCGATAGATCTGGAACATCTGTCAACAGGTCCGGTCTTTGTTTTCATCCCCTTTCATCTTCTTTCTCCTCTGTAGCAGGAACCGCCAAGAAACGTACCTCGTCACAGGTCTTACTGTCGAGCAAGATCCAGCCCAGTTCAATCACTTCAGCAGAATCTTTGGTAACATAAACACCATGTTCATCGCAAGTGGTCGCAACGTGGATGACCACGTAGCGATCAAGCTTGGGCACTGGTGGAGCAGCGGTCGCCATGATGGATAAATGGGACGGGGAAATCGGTACAACTGGGGCCAGGGAAAGGTTGACGGGGAGAAACGCTGTGAGGACGGGACAAGAGGGCAAATTATCGAGCAAGTCGAGATTTCGGACTGTGCTTTAATCTTGTCAGCCAGAGATTGAGACAAGTGGGCAGTGCCAGGAAAAGGTACCAGAGAAGAGCTCACAAACGTCGAGTCAGAAAAAAATAGCAGACGCCCGACCCAACTCCAGCAGCTCGGGGGAAGGTAAGTACAGGACAAGCGGCGACGATGAAATTCGATACAGGCCAACCTCTTGCAGCTTTCCCCCTGAAGACCACAGGATACGGAGGAAAAGAGAGGCAAGTCGACAAAAGATCAGAAAGGGACGGGAGTGGTGCCGATGGGATGGCTGCGAAGGTGAGTTGGGGGAGAAAGATGAGAATCCCAAGTGGAAACGACTGAGATGGAGTTCAGTTCGGGTGCAAGCAGCTGGCAGAGCAGACAAGTCTGTCGAGGCAAAATCGGGGGAGCTAAACCACAAACTCACGTTCAACTCGGCTTTTTCGCTGCCACTGAGTGGGCTTACTCTATCCCACTGCGCGGCGCTGCCCACTCCCACGCAATCCAAACCGCTAAACCCAGGTTGAGGAAACAACGCTTGCAGACCACTGACCGGATTCCTGGGTTTTGGTGGTGGCTGGCTTGGACCCGATTCTCTCTTGAGTCTTGTCCCTTTCTACCCTTTTCAACCGTTGAAAATACAAAGTCCGCAGTACCAAGTCCTCCGATCGCTGCCTTACCTATAGGCACTTGGCCAACCCGTTACCTAACCGTGGCCCGCACGCCGCCCGTTGGGGCTGTTGCTGTCACCCCGATTTCTCGAATCTCAGCGGCATGGAAGTGCGACTCTTTGCACCCTTGGTCTCCATCTCTCCGGGATACCGTGGCCATGGGTTCGCCATGTCGTCCTACGCGTGGTTTGATTGACGACCGCACAGGGAGGGGGAAAAAACCAATCTGAGTGCAACCCGCGTCGCCCCTCGTTCCCTTCTGCTCTACTAATACTTTCTGTTCCAGCAAGCGACGTCTTTTTACAATACCCTCTCCTGGCTGTCTGCAGCATCTGGCAGCCTCCTTCGTGTGCAGCTAACCGCGGCCACACTCGCACAAACAACCATAAACCCAGGACGTCAGAAAAATTTAATAATTGTCTCCCACCTGCGTGGTCAATGTGGCTTGTTTCAGGACGCTGGGCCCTGGGCTTCCGGCAAACGGCCTGGGTAACTAATGCTGGGTAGTGGAGCTGCGAAGCACGGTTGAAGTAAGGCTCCGACTGTCAATTCCGTGAGCTAGAAGCTCCCATGCGTGCCAGGGGAGAGGCTACGAGCTAGGCTACTAAATCGTGGGCTGCTACCACATCCACCAAATTCCGGAAACGTGGGATTCGCAGCGAGCGCTCTGTGCGAAAAAGCTTAAGGCAAAGAGATACACCACTGAACCACGCCAGAACCTCGCACTGTGGTGCTTCGGGACCCCATCCATCACCACCGCGGGGTCCACACGCAACTCTGCACTGTTTGCAGGCTGATGCGTTGGTCTTCAGGTCTTCCATGAGCCCCGAGCATTGGCGTGCGGTGGTGCTGCCTGTGGCGCCCGGAGGGACCCAAATGTACTACCGCGAGAAGGTCTGTTGTGTTGACTGTCTTGTCGCCTTGCACAGATTGACAACCGGGGGTCCTGTCCATCACATCACGTCTGCCAATGCACGCCCAGTGTGCATATCGTAGCCTACCGCCCGCGGTCTTCCCCGGTAGAGCCTCTTGGTATCACTCCTGCTAGTCTGGGATGTCAAGTGACTTTCAATTCCAGAATGGAAAGGCGCCTATTCCCGAGTTCCGGTGCACGAGCAGATGGGTTTTGACAAGGCCCCAGGGGCTAATGCAACAGGGGTTCATGGCTGGGGGTTCCATGGCAAGACATCCTTTGCAGAACAAGTGACACCGTCTGATGCGGGAAATACACTGTGCACCTGAAGAGGCTTGCGGGAGACGATGAAGTGGTCATTACTCGGGATGCAAAGATGAAGACAGAGAACCCCACTGCTTCCACAGTAAACGCACGTTTACAGCTAAAGCCCACGTCCCAACATGATAGCCCACGAGTTGTTGCAGGTTTGCTCCTAACGAACACGTCATTGTCGGAGTCGGGATACTGTGTGTTATTTTTGCAGAAATGGGCTTGGTGCTTGATGGGAAGGGCCGTCTGGAATGGGCTTGCTGCAGGTGTTGAAGCGGCACGCCTGTGCCTGTGTCCGTGCTCCGAGCTGCCCACGCTTTCCCTTCCCCTTCCCCTTCCAATCGGCTAACAAGTGGCTGCTTGGCTCCCTCTCTTCCCCCAGCCGAAGCCCAACCAAGCCACATTGGGCTTTATCACGGGCTACAGCACCTGCCCGCAGCCCATCCATCACCAGCCGACCCAATGGTGCCATATCGAGCCTGCTTTACCTCATAGGGGAATTTCTCCCTGCAAAGAACAACAACAAAAGGCAATGCCCCAGATCTTCGGATCTGAGGTTACCAGAAAGCAAAGCATAGATGCCCAACATCGATTCTTATGGCAGACGTTCAAGGTGCTCTCTATTGGAATCCTGTCCAGATATATTTGATCGACCTGTCCTACGACTGATCCTGATGCCCAACCCGAACACCCATCACCGGTTGTGCCGCTGCCAAACTCACCAGAAACAAACGGCTATATCAGCGGTGGAAGGCTGGAAACGCACTTTTTGCTCAATTCTCGCTCGAAATCAACCACGATCTACCGCTGATCTCAGACTTCTCTGGAACATTGAACTAGAGAACTGCCAAATCGAACGAGGCTTCATACCCATTGTGAGCCACGCCTCCCAAGTCCCAGGCTGATCGTTCACAGGTTTGCGTGTTGCCCCTAGCATCGGTGGCTTTGGCGAAAGTCCTTTTGCCTTTGCCCCTCTCCATCTTGATCTGTGCCTGCCACAAAGACTAGGTCCACCGACTCGCATGTTTGCCACCATGCTCGAGACGGGCATCGGTCCAAGGTCTGCCTTCATCACCAGACACCTGAACCCCCCAGAACCGGACCTTGAGCGCCTTGTGGAACAGCATACCCAAGCACCTCAATCATTCCGGAAGAAGGCAGAACAATGGTGGAGCCCGAGGTTGGGTGGGCAACACAAGAGTTAACGGGCATGTCCAGCATCAAAGGACACCGGTCCCAATACTTCTCAGCCGTTTCAACACAAATTGCCTCCCGCGGCAAAATCTTGTAGTCACGCTGCTGATAGAAACATGGTGATTCCCTGTCGGAGACGGTAATGCGGTCTCGCCATTTCACAGAACGAGCGCCCAACACTCCCGGCACGATTGCGCGGACGGGGAAACCGTGACGGGCCGGCAAAGGTCAGCCATTCATCTTCGTCCGAGGAGCAACAAGTCAGCGGACATGTCGCCCAAAGGGGGGGAAGGATATGGTGGGTGCTGGATTCGTACCTTGACCGCCAGGATCACATCCATGGCTGGGTCCATAGCCCGGTCGAAAGGGATGCTCCCTCCATACCACTCGTCGGCCTGAGTCTTGCCTCCGTAATTGGCAAAGTGGACGTGTTTCAGTCGTACGCTGTCACCCATGGCGCGGTGGTCCTGGGCTCCGGCCGCGAGCAGGATGTCACGAACTCGAGGACCCTCCCAGACACAGGTCATCAAAGCAGCATCTTGTCAATCTACGCCCCAGACCTCCTTGATGCGTGTGCGCATGGCGTGTCGGCGGTTGCCAGCGCTCTGCAGCGTGCAGGTCACCCTGGCTTGCGGGAAGTCATTCACGAGCTGGTCGATGGCGAGACTGAGAGTTCTGGAGACGAACCCTTTCCCGTCAACTGTGACTCGGTGGTCTGTTCCGATGTTGTTTTGAATCGGGCCGTGATTTCGGTCGTAATTGTCGCATCTGGTGATGAAGCTGTTCTCTCCATTGAGAGCTATCTTGATCAGGAAAAGGAATGTCCGCATACCTTGAAATGAGGTCAATCATATATGGCTCCCGATTGATGGGCTTCTCGACCGTGCCATCGTCGTACGGAGAAATATTGGCCTATCGGGGGCGGTCAGGCATTGTGGTCATCGCTTGACAACGTGAAGCACACTCAACAAAATGCAGGGATATACTTACGACTGTCATAGCAAACAAGGTTGGGGCATTTGATGCTCCCCGAAAAGACAGCGCTCAAAGAAGATATCCGTGATTTTCGAGAATGACGGTGCGGCGTTACCTAGCTGAGGGAACGGTGGGAGGTTAGGAGGACGAGGGTGGGTGTACCCGCCGCCACCGGTCAGTTGCATACATACATATCGAGTATGCTGACGCTGGTGACGCTGTTCCCCGACACCACGACCATTTCCTGAGAGAGGAGAATGGGCCAATGTATAGCGAGTGCGGGGCAAAGCCTACCGATTAATGGTTGACGCTTCCCTTTAGTTGGCGATAAAGGATCCTACTAGAGGGTCGAGGTTTGTATACAACTCTATGGAGTACCCATGGTATCAACTAGCAAGGCTGAGCATGTTCAGGATCCTAATCTACAATACGGAGTAATATTACTGACTAGAGCTGAAGGACCTACCGAGTACAGGAAGTCAGATTCGGCCACTCAGAGACGACGCTGGAACGGGTCCATTAAGCACACAATTTACGGTGGACCATAACGTCTCATCTGCTCGACGACCGAGATGGAGCCTCGCCGTATTATCTTCTGCCAGCAGTCTAGATCAAGAACAGAGAACCACTATCTCCAGATGTCAATGGAATGCTCGTTATGGGTGAAAGCCTCCTTTTCAATCTAATATCGGGATGGTGTTTGGAAGGAAACACATCTTTTTCCAATGCTCCCCAGTACACGAGACGGCTACCAAGATGCCGAGCCAGCCTCGCCGCAATGGCTTGAGACTCGGAGAACCTGCCAAGTGAAGAAGCTCCGTACTGTAATTGTATTGTTCTCCAACTCTGCCAAATCCTCCGAAACATTGGATCGACTCTCCGACCAGCCACTGATGCCAGTCCCTCACCACTGGTAGAGTCAGCGATTACTCCCACCTTTCAGCATGACCTTGTGGAGGTGTGTTCTCTCGTCACTTCCTTGATCATTCAGCGGTAGCGTGTGGCTGACCCTGTCTGCAGCTCCTACAAGGCTCTTTCGCCAAAGACGCGCGGCGTCATTGGTGTTGCGCTCATGCTCAACGCATCCGCGATGCTGTTATTTTCGGACCAGATCGAAGCTTCCCTGGGATTGGCTCCACCCCCTGGCGACCAACCGAAGGTCTTTAAGGTATATAGCGTGGAGCGGGAGACAAAGGGGTGAATTTCACCAGGATCATCAAAAGAGGGGCCAAAGGTACGGGGATTGCTGTCCAGAAGCCCGCATTCGACTGCGGACACGACGTCTAGAACCAAAGCATGCAACAGACTTTGCTGGTATGTTACATACGGTATATGTGCCTGGGACAGCCAGATCTGTTTCCCTGCGCCTCTTGGGTCAGGTCACAAATCCGGCGTTATTCGAGACCACGGGATTCCTGATGCACCGACGGTATTCACGTGTTCGAACCGTCGACCGAGTTAAAGAAGAGAGAGGGCCTCAATCGATATTCTACCGGCGGAAGGACTGATAGTCATTTGACCGTTGCGGTCTAACGAGCGGATTGCGAGGGAGGCAGCATCAGGGCCGAAAAGAACGCTCCCCTAGAGCTCGTCGGGTTGCTCAATACATAGCTTGCCCGACTGGGAAACATGAGCCCCATTGTAGGAATGAATACACTTTTCATGAGGTATGAGCGGAGCAGAACAGAGCTGAGAAATCAATGAAAGACATACCCTCGATTCGAAACTACACGAAGACTGCGATGTCCGCGAACGCTGCGCCTCAGAGTTCCAATGTGACTTGCGGGAGATGGTACAGAGAGAGACTGTGGTGACTGTAGGGAGCTCCGTAGGAAGCTGTCGCACAGCTGTGTGGAATGCACCAGGGACTTAGCGTCCGCCTCACCCAAAAAATTCCATCGGCGCCAGAATCCTGGAGATAACTCTCGACGCTGGTCTTTTGAAACGATTAATACAATATATTTGATCATCCCTTGCCAGAACTATTTGCTTGTTCATCCACCGGGGTTTCATTTGCCCGAAATCGCCGAGCCGAAATGGGGCTCGCGTCTGTTGGCAACACAAAGCCTCCTTTTCCTGTGTTAAAGTAGGTTGTGTTGTGACAACGAAATCGGTTCAGAGAACTCTCCAGCCGACTCGGTGTATAGTCGATATTCGTACTGTGTTTTTTCTTTCTATAGGGGAGGAGACTGGGTTATCTGGTACCCTCTTTTTCTTCGTTTATTTTGGTTTGAAGTTGAATTTGAATTCATAAGCTTGGGTTGTACTCGGCGGCTTGTTTTCATTGTCCAACGGGGGCGGGACGTCCGGGGTGGGAAGAAAACGAAGAGGAAGACAAAGAGGAAGACGAAGAGGAAGAGGAAGAGAAAGAGAAAGATCCTTAAGGCGGATATAAATTGATATCAGGGTCGAATCTGTCCCGTCTTTACCCAGATGGCGAGGAGCAGACCGACGCCCGCAACCTTGAACCAGCTCAAACACACATGGAGACCGCGCTCCTGGCACAAACCAGCTGTGGTGTTCCTGGCTCGGACGTTTGCGTCTTCAGAACCGCTCCGCCTGCGCACCACGGAGCTCGACGGACCTAAGTTGGGCGGCTTGAAGGTCAACTCTGCTCGGCTCTGGGACACGATCCACGCGACGGCACAATGGACGTCGTCAGCAAGACCGAAAACGAACGATATCAGAACCGCGGGTCTCTCGCGACTGACTCTTAGCGACGAGGACAAAGCCGCGCGCGACTGGTTCATCTCCACCACTCGATCCCTAGGATGCAAGACCCACGTAGATCAGATGGGCAACATCTTCGCCATCAGACCGGGTTTGTCGTCGTCGTCGTCGTCTCCTCGGTCCGCGGGCAGGGTTAGAGCTCCAGCGACGTTTGTGGGCAGTCACCTCGACAGCCAGCCCAGCGGCGGGCGCTTCGACGGCGTCTTGGGGGTTGCCGCGGGGATCGAGATGTTGCGGGTCCTCGAGGAGAACTGGATCGAGACCGAGGGCGACGTGGGCGTCGCGAACTGGACCAACGAAGAAGGCGCCAGGTTCCCCGTCAGCATGATGGGGAGCTCCGTTTGGTCTGGACGCGTCGGCCTGGAGAGGGCCTGGGGCGTCCGCAGCGTGAGTCCCGGCCTGCCCGAGGCCACGGTCAAGGACGAATTGGAGAGGATTGGATATCTGGGGGACGTGGCCTGCTATCATGACGGGAAGCCCGGCACCGCCCTAGGCGCTCATTTCGAACTGCACATCGAACAAGGCCCGAAGCTCGAACGCGCGAGGCAGAAGGTCGGAATCGTCGAGGGCGTCCAGGCTTACAAATGGTTGACCGTCACGATAACGGGCAGGGAATCGCACGCCGGGACCACGGATTTCGACAATCGCGCCGACGCCCTCTATTTTGCTGCGACGTTTCTGCACAAGGTCCGCAGGATCGCCGAGAGTTTAAAAGGGTTGGCCACCGTGGGAATCATGAATGTCTCGCCCGGGAGCGTGAACACGGTCCCCGGACAGGTTGTGATGAGTTTGGACCTGAGAAATCCTCTCGACAGAGGCTTGAGGAGGATGGTCAAGAAGGTCGAGGAATTTATTCAGCTGGTGAACGAGGGCGACAACCACCATACAGACACTGCAGATGACGAGAGAAAAGGTGGCGCCGGTGGCAAGAACAAGAGAGCTTCTTCTACAACAGGGCGGCCGACAGAGAGGATTGCACGGTTGAAGGAGAACCCGCTCACGAGGATCCGCGTCGAGATGAGGGAAGACTTTTCCAGCGACGCCATCACTTTCAACCACGAGGCGATCAAGTGTATTGAAGACAGTGCCCTGGCTGTCTTGGGAGGCGATGCGGGTAAGATCCAGAGAATGTTGAGCGGCGCCGGGCACGACAGTGTCTGTACCAACGTGCACTGTCCTACGGGCATGATCTTCGTGCCTTGCAAGGATGGCGTCTCGCATAACCCGAGCGAGTGGTGCGAGGAGGAGGATTGTGCCGTAGGGGCGAATGTGCTTCTGCACTCGGTGCTGAGGATGGATCGGTTGAGGAAGGAGAGGGGAGATTTTGACTGAGAAAGGGACAACAAGGGAGGAGGAAGCAATTAAGGACAGGGCAGATCAAGGTGGCGATAAGGAAGTATATGCTGCAGCAGAGATGGGGAACGGTTTAAGGGAACATTGTTGCCTCGCTGGATGCATGACACTTGTCATTGCTCTATTTGTTTGGTTCATGCGGAGACCTCACATTCGTTGCTCACTTCGAGACATGCTCACCTCGGTGTGTGTCTGCCTCGTGTTGAAAGCCATCACCAACGTACCTCTCCGGAGAGATGTCGTCGTCACCCAGAAATATTCGTGCGCACAGAGCCGAACTCCTGACGAAGCGGACATTGCAGCTGTCTAGGAGGCCGGAGGAGCACCGCGACCCCGACCGAAGCCACCACGGAAAGTAGGTGCAAACTCGCCCGGCGCACCGCCCTCTTTGCCCTCACCACGGTCCTCGCGACGACGATATCCACCTTCACGATCACCGCGTGGACCACCACGGCCACCACCACGGCGCTCACGGTCCTCACCGCCCATCATACCACGTGGAGGAGCGTGGCTGCGCTGCTGCTTGATGTGCGTCGCAGGGACAATCTCGGCGGGCAAGTGAAGCCATTCGCGCAAGTAGTCCAGGCCTTCCGGAGTCAAGGTGTAGTAATAGTATTGCCAGGAGAACTGCGTCTTGAGATAGCCGCGCGAGGTGAGGGATTGGCAAGCCTTGATAACCTATAACAAATCGCCTCGCATTAATTCCCCCATTCTCACACTGCTTTCTATGTGGGTTTCATTCCAACGTACGTAGAGGTTCTTGGTGTCGATG